AATGGCAGAGTGCAAGCTCGTGTTTCTGTGTTGATAGAGACAGCAGCATTGCTTCAGCTGTTCTTCCCCAGCTCAGTGGTAGTTGAGGGGATATAAAAATCAATGACACATGGGACATTTCACACTACTCAGTTGTTTAGAGCTGAATATGAATATTGTTATCATGAGTCAATTTTCGTTTCAGAATTCCAGAGAGAATACTATGTAAGACTGTGCCAATGATAGTTCACTTATTTGTTTTGATACAGGTAACAATAGTGATTATTATAACTATATATGTTTATACATATATGGTTGTAGGTAGGAAGAAAGAATGAATCTACTTAACACTAGGTTATCAGAAAAATTTAGACGTATTTTTGCTACAATCTATCATGACTTTTCCGATGACCCAATTAATCTAGACATTATATGAGAGTATGTGCTAATGGCCTAGGGAAAGTAAGTGGGCAACACTCTGGGCCTGGGTTTCTTGTAGGTCAGATTTAATCCTCAGGGGGTTTAAATTTGTTTTTTTCCAGTTCCCTTATCATTGTAACTGGATGATGGCCACTTGACTTGGAAAGAACTGAATACGTGAGCCATTGTTACCTAAATGACAGCCACTCTTTTTAAAGGCCCTGGTTGATCAAAACAGGATTAGACGATCAAATGTGTGTGACTACTCTGTGCTCGAGGGTAGAGAATCTTCTCTAAGACCTCCACTCCTTTGAGAGAAGGCAATTCTGTGTCCTCCTCCCCAATTTTTTTTTTAAATAGTAAAAGATATGAAAATATACCCTAAATGATCTCTGCCTATTTTGGAGATTATCACTGGAGAGCTCCTCTAGTGCAGTGGTTCTCAAAGTGTGGTCTCCAGCCAGCACCCTCCCTATCACCCTGCACTTGAGAAATGTGACCTCACAGGCCCTTCCTCAGAACCACTGAACCAGAAACTCTGTCGGTCATTCCATCTGTGCTTTAATAAATCTAGAGACTGGTCTGGGCCAGAGTTTAAGAACCATTCTTCTATGGAAAATTAGAAAACAAAAGTAGATAACTACGTACTTAGCACTTACCATTACGGGTATTAGAAATATGATCTTCTGGGCCAAGAATTGGTCACCAATGTGTATCAGCAGCGAGCCTTAGGTTTATGAGGGAAGCGGTAGAGGGTGATGTGATCATGGGCTTAGAGCAACCTGGAAAACCAGAATAGGACCACAAATGAGGTATTGGGCAATGGCTGCGATAGGGAGGATGGAAACTAGCTGCAGAGAATGAAGGGCAAAGGCTTTGGGTTCAAGAGGATAACAGCGATGAAGACATGCCACCAAAAGGTCATCTCAAACACAAGGTTGTTGGGAAAGTCGTGACGCATCTTTGTACAGAAAAACACATGACCTTCCTGAGAACCTAATCCGTGTAGTCATCTACAGCACAATCCCAAAAATCCACAGCACAATTTTTAGCTATCATTCACATTCAGCTTTGGAAATTGTAATAAAATATACCCCACAGTTGGGCTTGAGCAAACCACGATTTCTAAATCTATTTGAGTGCTTGAGATTTAGTTAGGTTTTCAAGGTTACCTGTCAAGGAGATGGTTAGAAGTCAAGGAAATAGAGGTAGGCAGACGATCTTAGCTAACTAGCTTATCTATCAGATAAGGTGCACGAATTACTTTAATTGCAGATTTATTCCACGTGTCATATTAGGGTCCCCTTCCTTAGCTGAATCCCTGTATGTCCTATGGTATCACTTCCTATAGCAAGTTGCCCCTTACCTAAAGCAGATGCAGCTTGGGGTGTTGTTTTCTTAAACAAAACCTTTACTAAAAGTCATTTTTTAGGAATTTTTGATCCTTATAAACCTTCTCATCTAACCTATACCAGAGAGAATTTTCACAGAAGCCTAAAAACTGCTTTGCAAAAGAAATTAGCACTTTAAAATTGAGCCTAGGTAAGTTATTCTTGTTTTATGTTCTTTCTCTGAGCATATTTTGTACCCAAAATTAGTTGAAGTAAAAACTAAGATTTAAACATCTATAATGTGACAGTTACTGTACTAAAAAATTTACATCCTTTTTTCAGATCTCCAGCTATGATAGGAGTTATCATCGTAATTGTATGAAGAAACAGATTTAAGTAACAGAACCCTAAGGAAATCATTCTGAGTCCAAAGCCTATAGTCCTTTTGATTTTAGGAAATTAAAAATCTAGACACAAGGCCTTTAAACTATTTTTTCTTGGGTCTTATATGAGCTTTTTCTCCTAAGTGACTTAAGTGCCCTCTAAAAATCTAGAACTAGATTTTTAAAAAAAATTGAATTACACAGTAAACTACTCAGGAGAGAGTGAGCTAGAGAACTCATCAATATGAGAACATACTTAGTTTAGCGGCCAAATGCATAGAACCAACCTCTTGTTGTGGATTGTGCATTTCACCCAGTCTCAATCTCTCCTGACCTTAATCCGTGGGGACAATGTGGGGTGGGGGTAGGAAAGAAGACACCACTGACGACCAGAGCATTTTGTACGGTAGTCAGTCATTCTGGATCTCGGAGTCTGAGGACATTTCTCGTCTTCCTAGCTATGCTGGGTAATTTTCCTTCTTTCTAGCCCCTTACTTAAGAGTCCTTGGAGAGAGGAATCAGGGCCTCCCAATGAGTGTAGCCATAATCCCTCTCAAACCTAGGATTCGAAACACACAGTTTTTCTCGATCCTATGGGGTGGTGTTACTGTCGTGCCAAGCCACCATTTTCCAATGAGTCTGTAAATCATTTGAAAATGGATTTGGGAAACAGTCAAGAATCCTGTGCTTTCTCCGTTGGTTGTTTCTGTATGAAACAAGTAGCAAGCCTTATCGCTGAATGTTCCGTTGCATGGCTAGGGCCCAGAATCCCCCCTTCTGCCTAGGGAGATGCCCGGGTTGAAGCGCTGTGTGTTTGAGATAGTGACGGTATACTATTTGTAGAAAGTGGGTTTCAGTTTAAACCATAACCACAGAGGTAAATCTATGGTTCAGTATATGATTTGACGTACAGGAAGTGTCTGGGTCTAATGATGAAACTTTTTAACTTTCCAGATGACAGAACAAAGGAAGCAGAAACAAAGAATTGGTCTTCTAGGACATCCTCCCCACATGAATGTCAACCCACAGCAACCAGCGTAAGCGAAGGAAATACAGGAATTCTATTTACCCTTTTTTAATGATTATTAGTGTGGGTATGGCTCAGTAGTTCAGATTCACCCACTATGGTTACATTTATGCTGAGTACATTTGTAAATACTCAGTTTTATACTGTATGTATATGATTGCTACTCTCAAGGTTTGGATATATGTATTGTAATTAGAATCGCTGGCATGATGATATTTCATTTGTGCCAAAAATATTAAAAATGCCTTTTTTGGAAGGACTAAAGAAAGCACCTGATTTGCACTTGAACCAGATTATAGATTTAAAAGTATAGGACATGTATTTTCTATTTAAATACTTAGAATAGCCAGTATTTATGTTTTTTATAAAACTGTGCAATACAAATTATGCAATCACAATAAATTTGTAACTCCCCACCGTCTGAAAGGGAGTGCACATTCTTTGAAGCTGGTGTGTTAATACTCTGTAATAAATGGTTAAATATCAAATGATGCTGCTGCCCAAATTACATTAATAGTGAGTTTCAGGCCCCTGGGCGTTTTGTACCATGTAATTATCCTACGGTGATGCTGTTCCTCCACGCTTGTGGCACTCGTGCCTCTGTCTCACAGTGATCATGCGCTCAGTCTAGGAACTGTTAAATCAGCATTCATTTTAAGAAAAGCAACTTTAGTTTCAAAGATCCTTTTACGCTTCTAAAATGATCATGTAAACTCTTTCTTTCAATAAGAGAGCCCAAGTAGAGGCTATTACTTTAGCTCGTGAAGAGGTCGAGGAATTTTTTTAAAGGAAATTTTTACGTGACATGGGGGATACACGCATATTGCTGGCCAATCGTCTCCTTGGTGAATTTTGATGGCATCTTCTAAAGAAATGGATAATTGCTGGTTCTAGGCTAGGTAGTCCCAACAATAGAATTGATCCTGTATGTGAACCAACATGCGACAGTAGCTCGGTAGTATTAACTATATACATCCATGTAAGAATGAAATAGGAACTATCCCATTAGAATTCATAGTTGAACACTGACCTGTTATCTGAAAGAGTCACGTTTTGTCACATGATTTTTCTTTGCTGGGTGGATGGAAAGTATGAAAGGAAACTTTTGTATCTGTTGTCTAGTTTTGTACATGGATCTCATTTTACAAGAGACTCTGCAGAAAAAAAAAAAGTTTAAAAATGTATTGAAAGAAGAGTTCTGAAACGACTAAAGTTTGTAAATGCATATATAAAAATATTTAATAAATGACGCAAAATATACAGCGGCTGGCTGGTGGCTTGCTTTCTGCGTTTGTGACTTGAAAGTTATTTCACTTAGGTATATAGTTTTTCTTTAGGACCAATTTAAACTTTACCTGTTTCAGTTACCAGATTAATGCTTACCTGGGTATTAAAACTCTCTGTTGCTATTATCACTGAGGAGAACCACTGGAACAAGTAGTTTTTAATGTGGCATTCATTCATTCTAGATTAGTGACTACCAGCCAGGCGGTCCCGGACACTTGGACATGCATGGTAAGTTGGGAGCACTCTGTAAAAGGTGTCCCATACCTTCCATACTTTTACTGGGGGGGATCTTTAGCTTGCTCATCATGGAAGTATGTCTAGAGGAGGACCCTGGGAATGAACTCACACACTCTGAAATGTTTTTACAAATGCTCACTCTTCTATCCAAATGTGGTCAAACTTGTTCCCTCCTCAAAGCAATCCTTGCCCTGGTTGATCTTTTGACACTGATTCTCTATATGTTTTGCTAAGTAAGAATAATGACTACCCAACGTTGGGAACTGGGTCAGGATTAAATTCCAGTTAAATGACTAGTTTCAGACCCAATGCTTCTGCTTTATAAATTTGACAGCTTAGAAAAACAAGTTAATAATTTTCCAGGCAGAGCAGTATACATCACCACAAAATTTTTCCACAGTAAAGCAAGGCCAAGATCGACGCATGCTATCATTCTACCACCACAATGGCAATCTGTGCGAATCTCCCCGCTACCCACGTCAGCCAGCAAGGACGTGCTCTTCCCTCAGGTGTTCTCTGTGCTCATGCTGCCTAACACGTCAGTGTGTGTGTTCGGGACCCTGCATTGACATGTTCGGGTTATAGCTTTCTGCAGGTTTGTCATGTTTCATTTGAATCCTGTCATTCACTTACAGTCTAAATCTTCATTCGCTTTGCCAGCTCCAGCAGCAAAGAAATGCATCAGAATGCCACCCCACCCTCCATGCAGCAGATCCTCGCCTCTGAGCCTGGGTGTGAGCACTAAAGCTAGTACAATGGCAACGTACCATTGGAAGTCCAGATGGCAGTGGCCTTTTGATGTGAGGTGGTGATTCCGCCCGGTGTGTCTCCACATGTCACATTTTCGACACCTCTTGAGATCCCAGTCACCTGCCCTGGTGAAGAAATAGGGTTATCAGACCGAGTATCAAACATGGCAGTCTAGCCCTAACATGCAGGGATACTATTTTGGCTGTGGTTAGGTAATCCCAGGAAGTTGCGAGAGTCCCAATCCAATTTATTAAAGCTTTTGCACATTTCCTCAACTATTTGATTTTTCCAGACCCTTTGACTAAACAATTTCTCTAACATTTATGGTATCGTCCCCTTTTCTACTTGTTTCCCCCCAAAAAAGTGGAGCTATAAGCCTTCATTTCCCCGACAATGAAAGCTTTCAGTCTTCATTTGCTGTGGCCCTGATGCTGTACATGACAATCCATCCTGTACATTCGCTCTTAGAACTGTGTCTGTAATCCCCCCTGCACACACACAATACAACTTGTTTTATTTCATTATTTAAAAATTGGATTCATTTTACTTGGTTTGTTGCCAAGTTAAAAGTTCCTTATTCAGCCTGTTTTTTTTTAATTTCTGAGAATGGATTGTTTGATTTTTACTCCTGTAAAACCTGCTCTTTCACTCTTTGTCAAGGAGTCTTCACATAAATGATAAAGCAAGTCTGTTTTCTTTGTAGAAGCTAGTCAGCAACTCTGTCCTTGCAGCAGCAAACTAAATAGAGCTTTACGTATGTGCTTGTGAGAAATTTTCAGGATCTATACAATACACTAAGCAATTAACCCCTTAAAAGGACAACTCTAGATTTCTGAATCCTCCTACTGTGAGTTATTTTGGATAAAGTATTCATTGGAAAGAGCCTAAAATATTTTGGTAGTTACTTTATAGCTAATATACGAGACCATCAGTCTGACTTCTGAGCCTCAGAGAGAGAACGTTACACCTTCAAAAATACAGCATAATTATAGTAGAAGAGTTGGATTTTTCTTACAATGATGTTTTACAGGTTTAAAAATGTGCTTCTAAGACTCTAATTACATGATGGTGAGAGTCACCTTTACGTAACACCACATATCATGACAAAAGACTCCTATCCAAGGCCCTTGAGACAACATGCTCTACTGACTAAACTGTACTGCAGAAATTACACCTATTTCGAAATGAGAAATTGAAGAGCCAGCAGGGGGCATGGAGGTTAAAGCCCTGAACTCTTCCCACATGGGCGACTGCAGTTGAGTCGCTGACCTGGTGGCATGCTTTCTGACTTTCCCTTTGTCTCTCTGGTCAAATTAAAATAGTAGCAGTTTTTCTTCAATTAAGTAAAAAGTTTTAATAGACTAAAATGACAAATTAAGCATACAGAGGTAAAATAACGTTGCTTCCTCACTTTCCCTCTCTCTTTCTCTGTGTCTCTGGTCGAATGAAAATGAATGAATGAATAAATAAAATTAAATAAATATTTTGGGTGGGGTGTTTTTTTTTTGTTTGTTTTGTTTTGTGTTTTTATTGCTATAGGGCGTGTGTGCTCGCCGGACAGAAACAGAGAGACAGAAAGTGAGAAATCACCTCCCAGGGGGGATGGCCACGCCGCAATCCCTTCTCCTCCATTCTCCTCTCAGGATCTTGGGCACACACGCACATGCGCCCAGCCTGAGTTTTCAGCCACCAGGTCCGGGATGCAAACCGTGGTCGACTACTTGGGAGTCCTGCGACATAGCCATTGCGCCAACTGCTGGTCCCAATTATTTAAAAAAAAAAAAAAAAAGAGGTAAAATAACGTGCCCAAGCACTCAGCTCCACAATTAAAGAACTCTTGATTTAGCCAACTACAGAGTCCTTCCCATTTGCGAGCTCCTTCTAGAATAAGGTAGTGTATCTCGACAGTAATCAGTTTTCCACAATCGTTCTCCCTTTACAGAAAATTCTTCCTACATGTGCGACAATACAAGTATGTTCACTTTTCTTCAACATCTCTTTCATAAGAGACCTTGCATGTTAGAAAGTACTGATTATGACTATTTTGTCAAGACTGAAAACTTTGTGGCAAAGATAAGCAGCAAATGCACTTCTAAAATACAGCTACAAATCTCATAGAAATACCTCTTATTTAACTGCATTTTTTCAAAAGGAGAATCCATGCTCAACCCATCAAAGTGGATTCTTCCAAGTGACAACAGTCAGGTACAGACTGATATTTGATCCTACCACAGAGGTAGATTATTTTTTTTTCCATTAACGGACTCTGGTCTTCTTCATTCTATTGATAATTTATTAACAAACAACTAGAATGTTGGAAAACCCCCATAGAGATTTCAATTTTACAGAAAGTACCCAAAATTCCACTAGTTTTGCATCATAAAGTGGTGGTTACAGTTAAGTTTTGAGTGAAACACCATGTGTGTGGCTTTTGTGGGTGGCTGCAGCTCAAAATGACTATTAGGCTCCATCAATTATCTGACAGGAGAGAGCTATGATAGCAAGTATAATGAAGACAGTTATGACCATCACAACATCTCTGGTATTATATGCCACATTTAGCAACTCTGGCAAACCTAAAGGCCAATTCAGAGACCTCGCTAGCTTTCCATTCTGGATCTGAGAACTTAGCAGAATGAAGAAAATTAATAGGCAGATCATGGGTTTTTATATTTGATCAGTATTTACGGGTTTTTAGCTGCTGGTATTTTAAACTTATTTTGTAAAACAAAGCTTTAGCTTACTGGGGTACAAATTAAAAAAAAAAAAAAGAAAAATTACTAAAAGAGAAACTTAAAATATTTTAAGGTCATGACAAACCAGTGTGAAAGAGAATCCTAACACCTAGAAGTGAAACTGCATCATCCACCCAGCCTGGAAAGAGAAAAGAAAGCTAAAAACCACTGTAGAATAAGAATGCAGAGTTTGAGAAAACCCCTAAGGTGAATTCTGAACAACAAAAAGAGTCCCACAACATAAGAAGTGCGTACAGTATGCAAGAACCACGAATGGAAAGAGTTTGCCAGCGTTTTTTATAATGACCTCACAGAGGATGATGGGTCTCCTGTACATGGAACTTTAGACAGTCCACGAATCTAACCTGATCACACCTGAGCTTAAACAAGTCATTTAATTCATTTTCACATACGGGTCACCTATAGCATCTCCTAAAGTCTTGTCAGAAGCTTTCTGTAAAAGTTCTCTGGAAGAAAAATGGGTAACTTTGATATAAAACTGGGGCAAGGAGACCTGAACCACACAAGACTCACATGCAAAGTACAGTATTAATATGCCAAAGCCCGTATGGCAGCAAACTGCAATGAGAAGAACATGACCCTGAACCCGGTCAGGCTCAGTATCAGCTCTACCACTTCAGGGTTAGAGCTCAGAACATATTACTTCATCATTTTCATTTTCAATCCCCCTTTCTAAAGAGTAGAGATGCTACCACTTATTACTTTGGGCAGTAATGAGCATTAAGAAAGACAGGGTTGGGGCCAGCAGATGGCATGGTGGTTAAGGCAGCTGGATCCTACATGGCGAAGTCCATGGTTCAATTCCTGGACCCAGCAGCTTGACAAACTAGGCAGGACTGGCAAGTGGTGTGGTGGTTAAAGACACTAGACTCCCACATGGCTGACTACAGTTTGAGTACCGGACCTGACAGCTTGCTTTATGTGTGTCTGTCTCTCTCTCCCCTCCTTTGTGGTCAAATGAAATAATCAATAAAATTAATAATTCCTTAAAAAAAATTATGCCATGCATGTGTGTGTGCATGCCCAAAAATCTCGAGAGGAGAATGGAAGAGAGGGGACTGCAGTGTGGTCATCCCCCTCAGGGAGGGGAGGTGATTTCTCTTTCTCACTCCTCCTTCCCCTCACCCACTCTTATCCATGCCCCTACCCCCACCCCCAGCAAGCACGCATGCCCTGTAGCCTAACAAATAAGACAGACAGGATCTAATATAAACCCTTCCTTCGTTCATGC